AAACAAATCCAGCTCTTTGTGCTCAAAATCCAGGAAGTTGCTATTCTTTCTCCGATAAACTTATTTCAAAGACAAATATTACGCTTTGCTTCAAATGGCGCCAGTACTCGGCCTGTATTTCTGCACTGGGAGGTTTGAATATCATTTCGATAAAATATTGCCTCTTTGGAAGACTACCGTATGTCGTTTTCCCGTTCCAACTGACCCCCTTCTGAACACCGCTGCCAGTCCGACCGTTCACTTGACATCCAAGAAGCAATTTCATGGAGTAATAACAAGCTATTCAAACCACGGGGAAGAATGTCTCTACTTGTAAATGTGTAATTGTTAGGGAAGGTTTCACAGGAACTGGCGTCCGATGCCAACGCGAGGGATGCGACTGGAATTCAGGGATGTAAAGCCTGCTCCAATGGGCCGTTTATAGGGCAGTGTTTATGAGGCATTGAAAAGGGCACAGAAACAGCAAGTTCTGTGGATGTCAGCGGCCCGGGACGAGACATCCGTCCTCAGATACGGAGATGATGGAGCAATAAACGAGAGAGATGAGACGCATCACTCCATCGTTTGTTGTCTTTGGCCCAAAGTCTTGCGTAAAGTGAGAGCAGGGAAAACTGCAAGTAAGGTACAAAATATTGCTGTCGCAGCAACTTCTAAACATGCGTAAGGGCCAATGAAAGACACACTTTTGTGATTGTCTAAGGTGTGTTTAGGAAAGATTTACTATTTCTATTGCTAACAACCTAGAACAACACAGCAACAAGTTAAACCACTTAGTAATCCCCTAGCGACTGCATAGCAACACCCTAGCAATGCACTGGAATTAAATTACCTTAGCAACACCCTAACAACCACCCAGAACACACTAGTAACCACCCAGAACCTCCCAACAAACCGCATAGCAACACCCTAGCAACCACAAAGCAATGTGCTAAATAAAAACATTTAAAACATTTAAAACTTTGTGCGTAACAACCACTGAGAGCACCCTAGAAACTGCATAGTTACGTACTGAAAGCCACCCAGAGCTCTGTAACAACTGCCAAGATTCCACAGTAACTGCATAGCAACACCATAGCAACACACTGAACAATAAAACTTAAAACACCTTAGCAATGGCATATCACACCCAAACAACCAGTTAGAACACCATAGCAATCACATACCAATGTACTAGAAACCACCAAGAACACCCACAAGAGAAACCACCTAACGACCCCCCAGAAACCCTTAGTAAACCACCTAACGACCCCCCAGAAACCCTTAGTAACTGCATAGCAACGCCCTAACAACCACATAGTGTAACTCCTCTGGTTATACTTGCCCTTCTCTGAGTGGGATTCGAACTGGTGTTTCCAGCATTGGAGACAATGAAGCTAAAGATCACAGCCTCTAGCGTCAGTCACTAGTGCGCCTCTTGAGATCAGGGGCACAACTCTTACTAGCTGGCCTCCGTTACAATAGCAGAATGCTAAAAACTACTATAGCAATAGTAGTGGCACTCATCATGGCAGTGAGTTTCATGTAGTTTCTCACAATTTCTAAAGAAAAAATCAGTTATAATTATTATAATTCAGTTAGTTATGCTTATGTTTTATAATTCACCACACTGTATAACAAGACTTTCACTTCAAACTCTCAATATTTGTAGATAGACGGGTGAATTTCAGATATCTGTGCACTAAAAATAAACCTGGATGTTACATTTACACCGCATGTACTTACACCACTAGAAAGCACTAGAAAGTTCTTCTCGCATTAGCAGGTCAAATTAAGCGTCGGAGAAGGATGTTTTCGCCAGGCATTTACAAAAACTGGCAGAAACAAACACAAAAGGAAAAACAATTCCATCTGATGAGCCGCTTTTCCACAACAGCAGACTCTGGAATCAAATAAAAGTATACTTCTTCTTGGCCGGTGACTTGCTGTCCTTGTGGACGGGGGAGGTAATTGCGTTGCCCTGTGCGTGAGTGTAATCGAATGATCTCTGAATGATTGTAGGTCTTGCGTTACCCTCTTAATTCAATTTCAAAGTTAATAATCTCACAATGACTTGATTTTGGTAATTTGAGGCCGATAAAGCCTCCAACAACAGTCACTGGGGCAGACATTTAAATTACATAATGCTCTACATCCACAATGGTGAAACTTGAGTGAAAGCGAACCGTTTCCAGATTGGCGATTCCTCTTCGTTTCAATCTGGGGGAGTGTTGAGAATCTCAGATGCATTTGAAGGTAATATGTCTACTTAACTGCTGCAACGTCGAAAGTCTGAATGGCGACCACGCCAATTGATAACAGTCCACGTTAATGAGAAAGCACCTTGTGTTTGTCAGCAACCCCACGTACACTCGACCTTCCAAACAAGGGCTTAATTCTACCTTTTGAGCTTTTTAAAAGACCAGAGTGAAAAGTGCTTATTGGTGCAATTAATCGTGGACTTAAACTGGCTCCAGTTGCAATAAAACCCAGTTAATTACATGATAACTTGGTTCTGACAGCACTCACTCACTCAGTCACTTGCATCCCCCCGTCTAATTATTCCTGTGCCATTCCCAGTAAAGAGCTGAGATTTATTCATCAAAGGCGAATGCGAGTGGCACACGAGAACATCTGGAAGTCTTCACTCAGCATCATACCCTGGAAAACCATATAACACCTGTTTTATATATTAAACAATACACCGCGTCCCCGCGCAACTCCCAGTTTCCTACATGCCGGGCTCATTTTTACGCCATGGAAATCCAGTCACATTTGTCCTGCGTTGCTTGGCGACATTGAAATTGTAGGGCTTTTAGAGATAAGACCAGAGTGAAAAGTGCTTATTGGTGCAATTAATCGTGGACTTAAACTGGCTCCAGTTGCAATAAAACCCAGTTAATTACATGATAACTTGGTTCTGACAGCACTCACTCACTCAGTCACTTGCATCCCCCCCGTCTAATTATTCCTGTGCCATTCCCAGTAAAGAGCTGAGATTTACTCATCAAAGGCGAATGCGAGTGGCACACGAGAACATCTGGAAGTCTTCACTCACCATCATACCCTGGAAAACCATATAACACCTGTTTTATATATTAAACAATACATCGCGTCCCCGCGCAACTCCCAGTTTCCTACATGCCGGGCTCATTTTTACGCCATGGAAATCCAGTCACATTTGTCCTGCGTTGCTTGGCGACATTGAAATTGTAGGGCTTTTAGAGACGTAATAAGAACATGCTTCCATCATGCTTTGGTTTTCCTTTGCAGTTCTTACTGAATATTTGGCACAAACATGTAAGAGATGGGACTGAATTATCTCAGGATGTTGTGCATTACCATGGAGGTTCTTTTGCAAAACGCAAGATGAATCTGGTGTAAAATGAATTAAAACTGTGATTTAGTGCTTTGCCAGATTACATCACAATGAAAAGTAACAAATATCTGTATTTAAAACAAAAACAGCTATGCAAAATAGATATTGGCAATTGCTTATTACAGCAACGGCTTAAAGGGTTAGTTCACCCAAAAATTTTTATTCTGTCATTAATTACTCACCCTCGTGTTGTTCGAAACCCGCAAGACCTTCGTTCATCTTCGGAACACAATTTAAGATATTTTTGATGAAATCTGAAGGCTCTCTGACCCTCCCATAGACAGCAAGGTAACTACCACGTTCAAGGTCCAGAAAACTACCAAGATTATCAAAAAAGTAGTCCGTGTGACATCAGTGGCTCAACTGTAAAGTTACGAAGCTACGAGAATACATTTTTGCGCAAAGAAAACAAAATGACGACTTTATTCCACATTTTCATCTCTACTGCGTCACTTGTGGACGTGTGTTCACGACAATACCATGACGCGAGCGTGTGGCAGCACTGACCCGAGGGCAACACGAGGGTGAGTAATTAATGACAGAATTGTTATTTTTGGGTGAACTAACCCTTTAACAACCAGTTCACACACCCTAGCATAGCAACATAATAAAAACATCAATATCACCTTAGCAACCACCTAGTGACCACCCAGAACCCCTTAGCAACTGCATAGAAACATCTTAGAAACTACACAGAACCTCTTAGAAAAAAACGAGGAAAAAAAACCCTCAAACCTCCTTAGGGTAACAATGCCATAACAACCAGTCAGAACTCTGAAGCAATCACATAGTAACCCCGTAGAAACAAAAAAAAAACAGGGTAACTCAGGGTAACAACGCCGTAACAATTGGACAGAACTCCAAAGAAACTGCATTAAAAAATATGCAGAACACCCTGGCAACCACATAGTAATGTGTCAAAAACTACTCAAAACACTTTAGCAACACCTCTGTATCATGGCAGTGAGTTTCACACAAATTTCTCAGTTTCTTAAGAAAATGCTAACGCTTACCATGCTTTATATTTCACCAGACTATATAAGAAGTCTTCCCGTGAGTCTAGAAGTGATCTAGTGCTTTGTAAGTTGATAATTGAAGTACATCACAATGAAAAGCAACAAATATCAGTATTTAAAACAAAAACAGCCACAGAAAACCAACACTGGCAGGTTTTCTGGCAGCCATTGGCTCGGGAAGCATCAAGTGGGCCGTCATTGGTAAATTGCTCATTACCTGTGAATTGCAGATTGACCACAGCAGCAAAAGCCTCCAAATTGGCTGTGAGAAAGCCTCGAAGCCTCCAAGAGCCATTTCTCAAACGCAGCCTAGCACTTAAGACACCCACACTTCTGCGCCTGATGGAAAATTATAACTCGCTGCACAGTCGCATACGTAAGCGGCATTTCTTCAGCCGTAAACAGAACTTACGGAAAACCAAACAAAATTAAATCTCCTTTGTATTTCCAAAAAGGATCGAAATTCCGCTTATTTAATTCTCCAGTAGAATTATGTGTCTTTTATGAGGAAAATTACACTAACCGCAAATTGCACTAAACAATTCCAATACTTTAGGGCTTGACCACTTTAAAATGGGGCTGCGCTGCGATTATAAATATAACTCTTTTACGGCTCTGTTATTACGCACTGAGAAGGGGGAGAGCGGGGCAATCTTGTGGCTGTAGCGCCTGATGGCCTCTCTGATGTGGGCTGGTTGGATGGCACTGCTCGGAGCCTCCGCGCCGCAGGCCGCCACGCTCTGCAACGGAGAAGACAGAGAAAATACAGCTCGTATTATTGCTAATTCAAAAACACGGTGGGAGTCCTGCAGTTCAGTGCACAAACACAAACTCCGCACACTTTTGGGAATCCAAATCGGCCGGCGCTTCACCTCTGGAGAGATATAAATGCTACGTGTCATTTGATGCTTTATGAACTCGCAGTGCAGGCTGATTCTGATATATAGAGGCCTGACTGTAAACGTTAGTGCTGCGTGTGATTGGCTGTAATTGCAGTGTCTCTGAAGTCATTGGAGGGAAGGGAACGATTTCGACTCGGTATCTCTTAGCAGACGAGGGAAAAACAACTTCCCTATTTGGATGTTTGCAATAAACATCAGAGAAACCGGAGTCAGTAAAACAGGACGGGTAGGGAAATACTGAGACTTGTTTCTTGCTAATGTTTCCACTGCATATGAAGGGGCTGGAATCTATGATAAGTATTAAAATAACCTCTGGGTATTACTTCTAGTGTAAAATAAACCGTGTTAGATTGGTTGTTTGGTTTTGAGTGGCCCATCGGTGTAAGCGGTTTGTCTGGCAGATGGGAGATTTTGAAAAAGAGATAAAACATTAGACTGCCTTAAAACGTTGTATAACATTAGTGAAGAAATTGGCACCACTAGTCATTCATCTTGGACTTGTACGATAAAATGTATGGTTTTTGATGGATGTTTTGTAAATTATGTAAAATATGTTTTTAATGTTTTAATTTGAGCTGAGAATGATAAATAATATAGAATAATAATGGCAATGATTATATTATTATTATTATATTTGAAAATAATTCATAATTATTTATTAAAATGTATTATTATTAGGGCATTGTTTGAGAATTTAATCATTATATATACATACATACAAACAAACATACTATAATAAACATAGTATAATAAGATGAAGAAGAATTGAAATGAACAATATGATTAATCTCTTACATTTATGCATTTAGCAAACGCTTTTATCCAAAGCAACTTCAAAGGAGGAACAAAAGCAATTAATCAGAGTCAATAATATCTGTAATATACAATGCCATAACATTTATAAAATGAATAATTTATTTTATAAATAATAATAATAATAGATTACTGTTATTATTGTTGTTGTTGTTATTACTAATATTATTATTATATTATGATGATTAAATTCTTAAGCAGTGTATTATTAATAAAACATTTACAGAAAAATATAAAAAATTATTTATATATTCATAATAATATCACCATCGTCATTATGTTTCTTTATTATATATAATTCTCAGCTCAAATACTCACACTTCATCTTGTGCTATATAACAGAAATATTTCTGGTTCAACACTACATAAAGCATTTTATTTTATAAAGAAACGGGTAGCCCCGCCCCCAACTCCCCCATTGGTTGAGCCTGCTGTTATGACCGGCCCAGTTGGGTTTCTCAAATAAACAGACTGCAGTTCCATTAAACAAACACTAGTGGTGCAGTGATCACACACTCATGTATAACTGGAGGCTAGCTATATAATCTCAATATAATATAGATGATCTGTCAATATTTGTGTACCTTCTTCCTCTTCCTCTGTTTGATCTTACTGCTGCCATCTTGGTTCGGCCCACCGTTGCCCTGGGCCATGGAGTGCATCTTTCCCTGGTGTCCCGTCAGAGAGCTGCTGGGAGTGGACGGCGGCATGCTTTCCGGAGAGTCCGTCTCCTTTTTGGTGCTTGTAGCCTAAAGATAGACCAGAAAAATCACATATGTGAGCACAAATTCCTCATTATTTTTCCAAGAGTGACGTTAGACGACTGCTACACATACACAATCACAATGTGCCTGACCTTCTCATACACAAGACTTGTTTTTAGGAAACTCATGACGCAAAAAGGTCACGGCTACAAAACACGACCCTGAAAACATCACCTGCAGTCTTACGACACGTCTCGGTCCTATCGCTCAAACCACAGGGTCATTCTGTCACTCTCGCCACATGGGAACGCGGCCGACCCCCAAGGATCAGGAGAAAAACAATACTGGAATTCAGGCTAAAAAATACCATGTGCGCTTCCAGACCCAGAGTGGCCTTGACCGAGTGCGAAAAGAGGGAGAGAGAGAGAGACAGATGAGGTTTCGTGGTTTCAGTGACACAGAAGTTCATCCATGGAATGGATCCCGCAGCTCAAAACCACCTTGGACAAACTTGGCGAGAGGTCAAAACCACGGAGCAGGACGCTCTTGTTTGGTTTTCTTCTCCAATGGACAAGCGCTCGGAGAAAGCTGTTGACATGACCGTTATCACCAGAAAAACCATTTGAACTATTCTATAACATCACCAACAGCAACTAACATCATAAAACATTATAATAGTGGATTAGAGCATAAGAATGGATAATGTAGATGCTTCTCGGTAAAGAATATCATTCACATGCAGCTTAAATCAAACAAACAACACATTAGTGACCAAATAACTGACTTTCTGTCTAGAAGACAATGATTGACTGAATGATTGAAAGGAATAGTTTATCAAAAACAATGAAAATCCTGTCATCATTTACTCACCCAAAATCATTTTCTGTTGAAAACAAAAAAAATATGTTCATGCTGGTCTTTACTTTTATGCTGCAATTTTAGGAGCTTGCTTGCATTTGTCACAATTCACTTCCATTGTATTCTGCTAAACATCTCCTTGTCCTGAAGGTGAATTAATAAAGGTGAATAAATGACAGGATTTTTATTTTTGAGGGAACTATCCCTTTGACTATAGTTTAGAATTTCCAAATAAATATTACATTATTATAGTATTATAATTATGTGTAATTACACAATAATTATGTATACTGTTAACAACAAACAACAAATTAACAACAATTTTGGGGGATCCATACCTTTGAAAACTATTTATAATTTCCAAATAAACATCCAAAGTGTTATTTTAGTGTTATTTATATACTATTATATTAATTTTATTTACATTTTTTTGTTTAATTTTTTAGTAATTTTGCTATGTACTTTTGTCATTTAGATTTTTTTTTATTTTCTATTTTTATTTACATTTTAGTTTTAGTTTATTTTTGGAAATCAAATTAAACTTATTTGATTTCACTTAGTTGGCAATGAAACATTTCAAATTTTCATTGAAACTTATCTAATGCTATTTAAACTATTTCAATTAATAAAAATGATTTATAATAGTTTTTAATAGTCATTTAGTTAACAATAACAACACTGATTACCAAAAAGTAAACTGAAAAGTGTTTTGTTTACCTCAGCCGAGGAGTTGCAGTACTGGATGAAAGTTGCTGATATGGCGTGTTGAAACGGATCGTCTGTTTTGGGAGTCTTGGAATCTTGTTTAACCAACAGGGCAAGGTCAACAACCTAAAATATAAAACCATATCAGCTTATGAGTAATGGCACTTGATATGAAGAGCAAGATGATAATATTTTTCCCAGGAAACATCATACTGAACGAAGAAAGCACTGGAACGCTTCAAAAGAGCTTATTTTCAGGGTTTTATTGCACTGTAAACAGAGACCCGAGCGAAAGTAAAGTGGCAATTTAGCAAATGTCAGAGTGATTTCCTGAAATGAAACAGTTTGTCATTTTTGTGAATCTGAAGCACAATGTGATTTCGTGCTCAGTCTGACAGCAGCTCACCTTGGCCACCGTCTCGTAGGCCAGATAGGACAGGATCTCCATGGACATGGCGTTGGGCTTCACATCCAGACTGCTGCAGTCCAGCCACTTGCAGAATTTTGAGGCCTTCTTAGCTAAACAGAGCACACAGTTTGAGTGAGAATATGATGTGCTGATGCACACTATAAAAATGATCGTAACTTTAATGGTAAAAGACTCTAAAGATGCTACAGTAAAAACATGTTAATTGGTTCTCTTACTATATATGGTGAAAACCCCTAACAGGACATAAAATACTGTTAAACTTGCATTATATTACCATCAGTTAATAAAATGCAGGGGGTCATATGATGCGATTTCAAGTTTTCCTTTCTCTTTGGAGTGTTACAAGCTCTTGGTGCATAAAGAAGATCTGTAAAGTTGCAAAGACTAAAGTCTCAAACCCAAAGAGATATTCTTTATAAAAGTTAAAGAGTCAACCACACCTACCTAAAACGGCTCATTCTAACACGCCCCCACAAGTCTACCTCACTATGTGGGAAGATTTGCATAACGCCGGCCAAATGTTCACGCAAAGAAAGAAGGCGTAACTTTTATTCTCGCTGTAGTATTGTTGTTGCCGCCGCCATGTCGTGAAGACGCTGTGCTTCGTTGTGAAAGCGAAACTACTTTGTTTGGTCTTCCAAAAGAGGACACGACTAGAAATCAGTGGTTAAGTTGTATTTCCAACACTGTTCCAGAACAGTTCAACCCAAATATTCAGATGTGTGCAGCACATTTTATGGAGGACTGTTTCCTGATCCTGGGAGAGTTGACTACAATGCCGGCAGTTCTGACTCACAGACTGTAAGTACGTTTTAATTTAAAGGATTTGCCACAGATGATTCAAACGTGAGTTTTGAGCAGTGTAGAGTAGCGCTTGTTGTTTGTAATTTCTCTGATCACAAATGCAGACATGGTTTTATGCGATGCAACGCGCTGCGTAAAAAGACAGTATAAGTTATTATAATCAGTAATTATGTCCCCACTGGATGCAACAAATGCCTCGTTTGTAATGGGTTTTAATGTTTTTGTCTCGTCGCTCCGGCTGGGACACCCCATCACAGTATGGTGAGGGGCGTAACATTTCCGTCACACGCTTGAGGTATTCGGCCAATCACAACGCACTGGATAGCTGGCCAATCACAGCACACCTCGCTTTTCAGAAGGATGAGCTTTGTAAAAATCGACGCGTTTCAGAAAGGCGGGGCATAGAGGAGAAACAATAATGTACAGCATGCGGAAAATAATGTGTTTTTTTAACCTTAAACCGCATAAACACATTTCATTACACCAAATACACAAAATAATGTTCTTTTCAGCAACATCATATGACCCCTATAACCACAAACGCTCAATTTCCGGCCCTGTGACGTGTTTTCGGTCAGATTTATTGTGTGCTCGGCATCAGTGTTGTGCAACAGGTTTATTCAGGCACATTTACTGTGCTGTTGTCCCGACCTGCAGCTCGATGCCAGTAAGACATCACAGTTACTGGAGCGGCACAAAGCCAGTGAACATGTTATTAGTGCTGCAATGTGGCCTTCAGAAGCCAGCAGTGGTGTGTTCACAATCCCACAACTGCGTTCTTACAAGCCCTCGGGCGCAGAACTGCCAACAAAACAACTCATCAGAGACGATATCTGACACGCTGCAACTGACATGAGGAGTGCTGCGCTCTACACTGACACTACAAACCATACCTGGCATGCTCACAGAGCAACAAAACGGATGCATTCATCAGTGCATATGCACTGAATCCTAAAGCATTCCTGTAGCTCAAACAGCAGAATTATGGCAAAAGCCAAGGTCATGGGTTCGATTCCCAAGGAATGTATGAACTGATAAAATGCAGACCTTTAATGTGATATTAAAGTATTAATATGCAATAGTAAAATATAAAAGTCACTTCGAATAAAAGTGTCTGACAAATGCATAAAGGAAACAAAATCATGTTTGTAAATGAATACTTACAGAAACTCAGCTGTCGACTTTCACAGAAATCACTGTACTGACTGGAATCCATGTTTCTGGTCATCCTCTCAATTCTCTCTATAAAAAAATTAAAAGTAACTATTATACTTAATATCATGCGTCAACATCATAAAACACATCTCAAGAAAATTATGAACAATGCAAGCCCACTATTGTTTTTGAAATGTCTCTTCTGCTCACCAAGGCTGCATATAAATTATAAAAAAAATCAGTAATATTGTGAAATATTACAATTTAAAACAGCTCTTTTCCATTTTAATATATTTTCAAATGTAATGTATTCCTGTGATGCAAAGCTGAATGTTCAGCATCATTATTCCAGTCTTCAGTGTCACATGATCCTTCAGAAATCATTCTAATATGCTGATTTGCTGCTCAAGAAACATTTCTGATTATCATCAATGTAGAAAACAGTTGGGCTGCTTCATATTTTTGTGCAAACTTTTATTTTTCCGGATTCTCTGATGAATAAAAAGTTGAAAGGAACGGCAATTATTTGAAATAGAAACCTTTTGCAACATTATAAATGTCTTTACTTTCACCTTTGAGCAATTTAATGCATCCTTGCTGAACAAAAGTAATTTCTTTAAAAAAAAATAGCTTACTAAATTTGGTAATAGTTATGTAATTTTTTGAATCCCATAATAATCCCTTCAATTAATATACTGTTATATCTACGGAGCTCCTGTGTGACGAAACGGTTTAAACCTCAGTTTTATCAGCTACTCTGAGGATTCAACAAGAAGACAGACGTCATTATTTCCTCGTTTTACGTCCTGCGATGAAATGGCATAACATAACAAGAGAAGGACCATCTGTGTAAACTTTAAGAGAGCCGTGCGCAGTAATGAACCCTCTTAATAGCAACCCAACAGGTCTGACTCGGATTTACAGCAGAGCGTGTTAAGTTGCAGGTCAGAACCTATAATTAGACGTTTCCTCATCCTGGACCAATTTCATACCTTCACATAACAGTCAATTTGAGCTCTCCACCAGGCTGTGTGTCATAAAACATAAAGGCTCAAGGTTTACGACTGCTTTTTTTCCTCCTCGTGCTGCAGAGGATCTGTTTTACGGTCTACAGAGACCCGCATCTCCGAGAAGTGCCGGGTTCGAGGTTGAGGACAGTCTGATGTGACGCTCGCCTGGATCGCTTACAGGCCACCCAAACCAACCGGAGTCTTTTTATTTAGTTAGCTGGCAGTCATTGGAAATTCCATCTTTGAAAATACATATTAATGATGCCGAGCGCCTGATCGTTACACGGTGCTGGAACTGTGATTTCTATTAGCGTCGTTAAGAGCCGAACGGAGGTCTCGTTTTGCACTCGGAGGGGGAATTCGCAGCAGTCTCGGTGTCTGGGTCCCGCTCCAAATTGGGCCGCGAGCGATACGAGACTGGAGCCGCTGCACTTTTAAATAACTCTTGTCAAGCGGCTGGCCTGAGACAGGAGAAATGTTTTGACTGTGGCTTATTGACTGAAAAGAGCAGCGGGGGGGATTCGATGTTTGAATACTATGTTTAGCCGCTGATTAAATCAAAACGTTGACCCACCTGCTAATAGCCAAATTATACCCACAACTGACGCGGCGGCTGTATAGGAGGACGTTGGCAAATATTTAATTTGGCCGCCAGCGGCTTTCATTTCGTGCCAGTGTGGTCTGGATAAAGGGAATCTCAATTTGTACCACTGCTAGCGATGAGATTTCCATAGGCCGAGGCCCAAGATATATTTTGGATATCTAGTGTAGTGCTGTGTATTTCAATGCGCGTCACTCGGTGATTAACAGCCCGAGGCAGGCTAGAATTAAATTTGTGGGGCATTTCATTCAGACGCGCGGCTAAGTTTAGACGATCAAACACGGATGGGTTTAAAGCGCCTCTGTTTTTGTGTGAAAGAGAGTCAGTGTTGTAGATACGAGGCTTTGGGAGAGATTTAAATGAGCCGTAACATCTCTCTCATGTTGAAGAGACTCCTGATGATGCTCACATTTTGAATTTCAGTCATCACTGAAAGAGCAAATGAGAAAACAAATCCACTAGCAACTTCTTAAACCTATTAAGGGTCACAATCATTGTGATCATCTAGTGCTGTCAAACGATTAATCGCGATTAATCACATCCAAAATAAAAGTTTTTGTTTACATAATATATGTGTGTATACTTATTATGTCTATATAAATACAAACACATGCATGTATGTATTTAAGAAAAATAAGTTATGTTTATATATTAAATACATTTATATATAATATAAAATATACGAATATAAATATATAAATGTATATACAACTAAATATTTGTATATTATAATATATACAGTATGTGTGTGTATTTATATATACATAATAAATATACACAGTACACATACATATATTATGTAAACAAAAACTTTTATTTTGTATGCGATTAATCGTTAGACAGCACTAGATAAAACATATGTAGTTCATGTCCTGCAAAATTTTTTCAAATGCCAAAGAGAAACTGTTCACAAAATTACAAAAATGGCATACTCAGTCTGAGAACAGTTTGCATTAACTTTGTCTTAAATGTGAACACTTTGAACAAACTCAGACCATTTCAGGTCAGGCAGTGCTTCAGGTTCACTTTCACTTCACATGCATGCGATTTCCAATATTTTTGAGCATTACATGCTACCATATATTAATTATAATGGTAACATGCAAAGATGCTGAAGACTTATTTAATTGCTGCGGGTAAAAAACACCCATCATGTGTACACAAAGAAACGCAACGTTTTTTTTTAACCAGACCAAAGTGGAAATACTATATTATTATTATATAACAAATTACTTATTTTCAATTTAAGAACTGTAATTAAAAATATATATATGGTTAAAGCATTATTATGGCATTGTATATTGTAAAAATAATATGATGCAGAATGTCAATAGTGACCTTGATTTAAATAAATAAATACTCTTAAATGGAAACTGGATCAAATTACACATTAAACTAAATTAAAATGAAATAAATAATAATAAAAAAAAATCAATATAACAAACCAATTTAATTTAGAGTCAAAGTAATTGATTGATAATATTAATGTACGATACATTTTCATTTGAGGAATTATATTACAATTAAAATAATATGGTAAAAGTATTATTATGGCATTGCTTATGGTAAAAAGAGGTCTTGGACGGATGGATCAATAAATGAATACAATTTAAAAAAAGATACACTTTGCAGGGAAATCTTTTCAAAGTCAAAAACCACCTCAAGTTAGCGTAAAAAAAAAAAAAGGTTTCTGATGCAATACTTTAAACTGCGCATAAAACAGGGTGATGGAAACAGCTGATGAAGAATTCATGCAAAAAAAAAAAACTCAATTTCACTCAAGTCCACACAAAGACATCTGAGTCTGATTCAAATTTCAAAAAAGAGAAAACACCCTCAAAGAGATTTTTATAATGTCATTCAGACTCAAAAACATCCAGTATATTAACTAGTTTACAGTTCACATTACTGCTCTTTCAAGGAAAATCTGAAAGTGGGAAAAAAAATAAAATAAATAAAAGTCCTAAGTTTGGTGAAAACCCAAGCAAGTAAAAGTGCAAGAGTTTACATTGCCGTTTTCGGCATTTATGATTTCCTAGGGAATTTGCAAAGTACAGATCACCAGTGTCTCAGAATAGCATCCTGCTGTCATCATGGCATCAAGGCAAAACAATGCGGATCCCACACATCATGACAAAAACACTTTTAAACATTCCCATCTGAACGCGGCCGGGAAAATAACAGATTGTCAAGAGATCTTAGAGGGTCCTTGGGAAGATGGATGATCTGCCGGAGGAAATACAATCCACACACCGCTGACAAAAGAAAGGCCATCGCCGGCTGATCAAGTGTAGCAGCGCGCGGGTGAATTATACTCTCGTCCGTTGCAAAGTACAGATCACCAGTGTCTCAGAATAGCATCCTGCTGTCATCATGGCATCAAGGCAAAACAATGCGGATCCCACACATCATGACAAAAACACTTTTAAACATTCCCATCTGAACGCGGCCGGGAAAATAACAGATTGTCAAGAGATCTTAGAGGGTCCTTGGGAAGATGGATGATCTGCCGGAGGAAATACAATCCACACACCGCTGACAAAAGAGAGGCCATCGCCGGCTGATCAAGTGTAGCAGCGCGCGGGTGAATTATACTCTCGTCCAAGCCGATCGCGGCCGCCCTGGACTGGACATCTGACAGATGCTTGACCCGTGAGCTGTGGCTTTGGAAATCCTATGAAATAATGGCCTGAGTATTTACACAAGTGCTGTAGTTTATTCACAGCAGTGAGAAAATCTGGAGAGTAAATGGATGATGCAAATGAGGGCTTTGAAATGGTCTAATTTACGGTAATAAAAGTGCTACTGGTAGTAAGAGACTGATATAATAGCTATAATCAGAACATATTTGGCTGTTTCGGCAAATGGACTTCTGTAAATATCTCATGGTTTTCAAACACTCTAATATTTGATTAATGACAGAAATTTCTGAATCTTAAATATTTCTTCATCTTTTGTAAAATATTTATATATAGAACAATTAAAATTGTATAAACAATGAAATAATACATAATTTATATAATAAAAATATAATTTATATAATACAAAAATATAATTATAATATAAAAAAGTTACATATATTCTAAATGTTTGTTAATTTGTAAAAAAAAAAAAAAAAAAGTGTACTATTTTGTAATTTATATTATTTTATACACCCCCGTGTATTAAAATAATTACAAAATAATAAACATTTAAATACATAACCGAAAAAATACATAAATAAATTGTATACATACAGAAGATTATAAAGAATAAATTATTTAATATTATTATTATATAATTAATGTAATGATAAATACATGTTAAATAATATTTTATATATAAAAATTATATATAGATACATTTTTTATTTATTTTTTTTTTTTTTACTAAAATAATAATTTATATAAATTTTGAAAATGTAGAACTATATATAAATCTGACAAATAAGCATTAGTATTTAAAATGTAATAATTATAAACATTCAAAAATGTAAACATTTTAAGAAGTTGAAATACATATATGTGTGTGGTAATAAATAAATAAATAAACAAATAAATAAACTTCTGGGGAAAGACAAAAAAAGAGGAAAAAAGGTACCTTATTCTGAATTCTGACAACTACATGATGACCCATAACATGTACTGTATGCAGCAGGTAAGGCGAGCAGATGGAGGAGCGCAGGGGAAGCAGACATGTGCTGTAAGCCACCAGAAGAGCTAGTTAAGGAAGACGAGGGGGCGGCGGCGGGTGAACGGGGCACTAGATAAAGCAGCACAGTGCCGTGTGGTTAAACCATAAAGCTCCTCTCTCCAGGACTTCATGAGTGGGGCAAAGTGGGAGGCCCAGAAGGATATGGTTCCTTATTCCCAAAAGGTTGTCCTGATAGCTAAAACATACCCATTAAAACACTCAGTAGGAACAAAGTTTTGGGGGAAACCGCAGGCTTTCTTGGCCACATCCAGAACCGTTTTAATTGAGATGGGACGTATAACGTCTCATGGTAATACCCCCTTGTCCACGGTTCTTGCTTCAGACCTTTAATTACGTCTTTCAGCTGTGGCCATTTATTTCACTCGGCACAGTGAGAACAAAAAGACAGAGTTCATGCTCATATCGCAAAGATTCAGAGCGTTTAATCACGTATCGACATCTGATAAAGATACACATCCCCTCATAGCTTTCCCAGATTGGACTGAAAACACTCCAGTTGTCATTTGACAGGTCAATTCCTGCTCTCTAGTTTCACTCGTGGTGTATTTGCACGTCTGTCTGCTGTGCACAGAGGAAAATATCACGAAGGAAACTCAGATGAGATGTTAAGACTATTAGTGGAAGACGATGAAACCTAGTCGGACCTACTGACAGCAGTCTGAGCCACGCTTTCTTGTCTTTAATGGAGCACGAGTATCAGAACCACATGTTCTTCTGTGGTTCTCAATTGCGTGTTTAAACACCTTGTTTGGGTCAAACCTCTGTTCCACAATGACTACAGGAATAAAGTGCACTTGTTCGTAGTGTCATTTAAGTGCACACGCTGTCTGAGCTCCTTGAGCACTTGATTCACTGAAGAAATCATGCTGGAAATGACTGACGGTTAGTATTTGCACAGATAACTGCAATCTGTACAGAATAACTTGACAAACACAATGCTGAAAGAAATCCACAAACTCTTTTACTGGACTACAGGCACTGCTGCCACAATCACCAAAAAAATCTACATTGTTTCTCTTACCAGCATTTTTAGAGTTGAAGTAACTGAATTACATTATTCTTGTTCAATACATTTCCAAGTTTTAGTTATAATTCAAATAATATGGTAAAAGTATTATTATAGCATGGTATATGGTAAAACATAATATGGTTTGATATATAATATGTTAAAATTGGTTAAAATGTTAAACATTGGTTTAAATAAATAAATAAATGGAAACTGGATCAAATGAACTAAAGTGGACTAAAAGGAGACGAGTCTACTTTCAAATCCAGGAACATTGTTAATTAATGTAAATAAATAAACATTTAATTTCAATTTCAATTCAATTACGAGAAATATATTATTTTTGTACAATTCATTTTCAATTGATTAAAAATTATATTAGAATTAAATATGGCACGGTATATGGTAAAACTAATATGTTATTAAATATAATCTGGAAAAATAGTCTTGATTAAATAAAATAATAATAATGTAAATAAAACAAATATAAATAAATAAATAAATGACCAAATACTTATTTTCCACCATAATTTGCAAATAAATTCTTTAAAAATCCTACAATGTGATTTTCTGGATTTTTTTTTCTCATTTTGTCTCTCATAGTTGAGGTATACCTATGATGAAAATTACAGGCCTCTCTCATCTTTTTAAGTGGGAGAACTTGCACAATTGGTGGCTGACTAAATACTTTTTTTCCCCTATATATATATATATATATATATGTGTGTGTGTGTGTGTGTATATATATATATATAAAATGGCAAAATAATAAATATTTTTTATACATGCACAGACTGATTATGTTTAATAATCTGACAGTGTGTGAGGTAAATGCCTTTAACAAATATTTCTGACTTGACAGGAGGAAATATAATATGACTCCTGACACAGCTCCTGTGGATTAAGCATGTGAATGTTTAGGTTTTGACGCTAATACCAGAGGAAATCGGATCTTTTCAAATTCTTGTGGTTTCTTGCATTGCCAGTTTATGGATTGCATGTAAAGCTTGTAAATAGATTTGTATAATAAACTGATTTTTGATAGTTCATTTGTTGTTGTGCCTGTAAACACACTCAAAATCTTAATTTAACTGTGCAGGACATAGTGGTTTTGGTGAGTTTTGGTGAATTTGGCTGATCTTTATCATGAAAGAATGAAGCGCTCCTTCTCTTTCTGCGACAGCAGGACAATCCCCTCAAATTTCTCCCACAATCCCAGTCTGTGCTGTCCACCCTCGCTGAAGCGTGTACATTTCAGCTCTCACCTCCAGCCGCTCCTGCTTGACTTCATCCACCTCCTCTTCCTCCACCAGCGACAGGAATTCCCCGGTCTGGCCGATGGAGCTCATGAAGTCCTGCAGCAGGCGCTGTCTCTTGTTGACGCTGCTGCTGCTGTATTTGTCTGTGAGAGGACAGAAACAGTCAGAGCACATCTGCAGGCAAGCTGAGATCCAGCGGCCCACTCGAGTCTTGCAGACCTCTGACACACGCTTACATCTCACACAAATACAGGCCAAAACTCCTTTCAAATCTGCTATAGAACAAGATTATACACTGCTTGAATGACAAAAATGCTCATAATAATAGACCTACAGGATGCGGTTTAGTCTCTTAAAAACGTTCAAATCAATGGATTTGAATGATCTGTTAAGTATTTTATTAAAGAAGGAAAATGTTCTTTAAGAGAATTTGAAATGGTTTAATCTTTGCCATAATCCATTACAATGACAGATGAGCTGAATCTTAAAACTAGTGAAAATATTGTCCAGTATTGACTGATAAATAGCCACTATCAAGAAATGACAACTGATACTGGTCCAGTATATTGTGCATCCTCAGTTAAATGCCTGAAATGACTTTTGTAGGCAAATATAAAAGGGGTCATATGATGCTGCTAAAAAGAACATTATTTGGTGTATTTGGTGTAATGAAATGTGTTTATGCGGTTTAAGGTAAAAAAAAAACAAATTATTTTCCACATACTGTACATTATTGTTTCTCCTCTATGCCCCGCCTTTCTGAAACGCGTCGATTTTTACAAAGCTCATCCTTCTGAAAAGCGAGGTGTGCTGTGATTGGCCACAGCACACCTCGCTTTTCAGTAGGTGTGGTTGACTCTTAACTTTTATAAAGAATATCTCTTTGGATTTGAGACTTTAGTCTTTGCAACTTTACAGATCTTCTTTATGCACCAAGAGCTTGTAACACTCCAAAGAGAAAGGAAAAATTTAAATCGCATCATATGACCCCTTTAATTATTCATTTATAATAATGTTAAGTTTTTTTTTTTTGACAAAACTATTTTAATGAGTAAATATGCATATCAGTAAATGGATGCAAATATAACACTTGATGATGCTTTTCCTTCACTGTCCACTCCAAAATTATTTATGAGAATATATATATATATATATATAATTATTATTATTATTATATTTCATGTGTTAAGAATAAGTAATAATAATAAATGTTATACTATTATATTATTACTATCTTAAAATTACTAATAATTACTATCTCTTTGGATTTGAGACTTTAGTCTTTGCAACTTTACAGATCTTCTTTATGCACCAAGAGCTTGTAACACTCCAAAGAGAAAGGAAAAATTTAAATCGCATCATATGACCCCTTTAATTATTCATTTATAATAATGTTAAGTTTTTTTTTTTTGACAAAACTATTTTAATGAGTAAATATGCATATCAGTAAATGGATGCAAATATAACACTTGATGATGCTTTTCCTTCACTGTCCACTCCAAAATTATTTATGAGAATATATATATATATATATATAATTATTATTATTATTATATTTCATGTGTTAAGAATAAGTAATAATAATAATGTTATACTATTATACTATTACTATCTTAAAATTACTAATAATTACTATAATAAATTCTTATAATTTATATTAAATACATTCTATAATTATATATACAAATTTTAATGACCATTATAAACATTAATGTTAACATTTAATTAGCATAATAACTAAATAATAAATAAAATATTATTTTTTTAAGAATAATAATACAGTATATTACTTGGAGTGTAAAAGCACAATTAATCATTTTAATATAATATATTGTATGTTTAATGTAAATTTAAAATGTATAAATGTTAATTATGTACATTTATTGTATAATTATATATAAAATAGTTTTCAAATGTATAATTATTACAATATATATTTTAATGTACATTATTAACATGTATTAATGTTAACATTACATTAACATAATAACTAACTAAATAAATAAATATTATTTTTAATTAAAAATAATACATTAGTTGGAGCGGAAGCCTCATCAAATAATCATTATTATTATTAACATTATTATAATACATATTTATTCATTTATTAATAATTTTAATCTATGTTTAAAATAGATAAATATAAATATATACATTTAAAACAATTACATATAATATAATTTTAAAATGTATAATTATTACAATATATTTTACTGTACATTATTAACATTTATTAATGTTAGCATTATATTAACATAAAAAAATAAATAAATGCAATTTTATTTTTTAAAGAATAATAATATAATAGTTGGGGTGGAAAAGCATCATGAAGTGTCCATCAAACATTTTCCTTCTTCAGCACAGTGTATAAAACATCCCATGATGCTCCTCATGAAGTTGGCTAATGAATGTCCAGAGTGAGCAGAGCTGGAATCCAGACTAATAAGCAGCTGAAATATGAGATTTTTCATCTGTGTCACGTTTTGTTCACTATGTACATAATTCCCACAGCAGCATAAAATCACGCTCTACCACAGCAAACTACTTTCACTTTTTCCAGCATGTTCATGCGGTTCAGCGTCAGCGGGCATTACGGGCCTAAAGCTCCAGGGTGGGAAAATGAAAAAAAGAAGGAAAAAGTTAATTAAATGAAAGGAAATACACTGATTAAACACACTTCTGTGAAGTAATGTCTGGTTGTGAATGACAGAAATAGCCCCAGAAAATGTTTAATCAAGGTTACTGAATTTATGACACCTAAATAACGGCTCGTTTTATGGGCTTCAGGTTCGTTGGGACTGGCACGGCACAGCCTTGAACAGACTGTAATTGTGGACTTCCTCTGTAAACGCTAAAATTCAATCAAACGGTAAAAACGTCAGTTTGTATAAACTCACTTTTAAATGATACAAATACGTTGACGTGCATAATTAGTAGTGTATTTCTGGCTTTAAAGATTCCTTAATTTGACATCTGATACAATATTTGGATGAATCAAAGGCCTTGGAAAATCTTGGTTTGGATGAATAGTTAATCTAATAATGATGAAATGGTGCATTAAAATCTAACTATATAAACACTAGTAAAACATCTTTGATCTGATGAACTTGTCCTTCAAAATTAAAAAGTACAAGTAAAAAATAGCATTTGAAATGTGCCTGTAACAGAAGTGCTTTGAATACAGCAGATTAAAATGCAAAACTGCATAAAAATACATTCAAGTTTGCATATAATGCATTTTATTTCTAGACTTAATTTAATTGAGCGTATGTTTATAGAGCAATACGTCTAGATTCATAAACAAGATCAACCAACAGTGCTTGCGACCCAATTTATGTCAGCAATTACTTGTATTTCCAAGATAAACAAGATATTTACTGCAAAAAAAAAAGAAAAAAGTGAGACCTGATCTTATACACTGAGAATTGAACACACTGTGAAAAGTGTTCAACTGGACGAAGAGTAGCAATGAAATGGTGCATTAAATCCTAACTAAATAAACACTAGTAAAAACATCTATGATCTAATGAATTCATGCTTCAAAATTAAGAAGTACAAGTAAAAAATCACATTTTAAATATGTCTAAGCTAAATTTAACAGGATGTTTAGAAGTGCTTTGAACAGCAAATAAAAACATAAAACTGCATTAAAAAAACCCTGCATTGATCTAGTGAATTCATCCTACAACTACAATAATTTTTTTTTATTCACCTGTAACAGGGTGATCAGAAGTGCTTTAAACACAGCAGATCATGCATTTGTTCTAGATTTAGCTACCGTAATTTAACAGAGTGTATGTTTACGGAACAATATGTCTAAATGTCTAACACGACCAACCACACAACCAACAGCATTTGTAACCCAAATTGTTTCTGTAACTACTTTCTATTCAATTAAATATAAAAGTTCTCCTATCAGGTTTTTTTTTTTACAATTACCTACTGTAATTTAACAAAGCTTTTATAGAACAATAGCCTATGTCTAAACGCCAAAACACTGATTAATGTTTGCAACCCAATTTATTTGTGTAACTACTTCTGAGTGAAACACAATATTCACACATGTGAAACCTAATTTTGTGCACTAAGAATTTAACACGTGATGAAAATAACATGACTTATGGTAAGTTCACACCAGACGCGAAGCGAATACGCGCATCGCATTACTCTCGGGAAGTTTTCTGTGTCACTCGCGCGAATAAAAACAGCGCGATCAACCATGGTGGATATAACTACAATCGCTGTTTTGTACATGTCGTCAAAAAGTCCCAAAAACAATGGAAAGCCAAAAGCCGACGTGTCTGGGTTCACACCACCATCCAGAGGAGGATGAATAACGTTAGGATCCTGCATTAATGTGTGTTACATTGTACTACTGTATATATACACTGAGATTACTATTATTTTTATTATTGATAGCAGCATCTCTGTAGCCATGCTAATAAAATACAACTACCACTACAACTGATTTTAATTGTTTTCTATGCTCCAGACCTATATAATAAAAGACGGCTGCAATAATGCTCTCTTCTATTGTCTGATTCAACTGGACGTGTCAAGAAACTCTTCGCTGATTGGCTTGTGCGAGAACGCGTCATGCGAATTTTCCACTCGAGTTGAAATTTTTAAACTTGCGCGGAAGACGCGATTGAGGCATATATCGTGCGTTCGCGGCAAACGCATCGCACATTTCGCGTCATTCGTGTCGCGAAATCGCCTCTATTCGGGTCTTTGCGTTGACTAATTACGTTGAATAATTACATTCGCGTCTGGTGTGAACACACCATTATAGTTGCATTTAGCAGCTCTAATCTATGGAAGCCCGTTTACGCGACTGAATAAAAAATAAAAAAGGTAGTTTTATCTCCCAATTCTGATTTTTATATCATAATTCTGAGTTTATCTCATACTTTTTTCGAGCAATTCTTACTTTATAATACGCAACTGCCAGTTTATATCACACAATTCTATAAAAGTCTTTGAAAAAGAATTGCGATTGTCAGAAAATCTCCCAAATCTGACTTCACTTCTCAAAATTCTGACTTTATAAATCGCAATTCTGAGAAGAAAAAGTTGCGAGTTTGTATTAAACAGTCCTGAGAAAAAAGTCAATATTGTGAGATAAAAACTCGCAATTACCTTTTATTTTTAATTCAGTGGCGGAAACAGGCTTCCACACTAATTGAACTGGCATGAAGATATTAAGATATTATTAACATTAACATTATGATTTTCTGTAAATTTGACACGACTAAATGGGATTGATGTCACACAAAAAGGAAAGTAGGTTTGATGAATTGCTCGCAATACAACACATAGTAAAAAAATAAACAGCACTTCACAATGACAATCTCCTGCTCTACTGTATCTGAGCCCAGATCTGCTGAGCAACCTAAAAAAACACAATAGCAGTTGAACAGAAGTTCCTCATTTGCAGTTTAGTTTTGTTTTAGGGGTCACTGCATGAACACTGCATGGAAAGAAATCAAAACCTATGTTCTCGCTCTACGTTGCCCTCTGAATGCACCACACCAGAGCAAAACAATTCCCTCACAGATTTTATATTGCACGCAAAAATGCTGATAATAGTCAGAGAAGAATAATCCTCCGGTTTGAAGCGCTTCATTGGGGTCAGAAACTTTCAGAAGAGCAACACATCGCAGACAGCGAGCCATGGAAAAGCATCTGCGTTGAGACAGGGAGACTGCATTTCACTGTTCTTCCATCTCTCAAGTTACACTCTAGATGAGGAGCAAGAGTCCTAATGACACTCCGCATGACATTACGCTGCTCGTGCGGATGGTTTTCCTCGCTCACGCTCATTTTTCGGTGACATTGATGAGGGAGTGCTGTTCAAAGCAGACTCATGCCAAAGCTTCTGTCTGCATTTTGGTTAATGACTCTCGCTGATTGACTGTGGCGTACAAAATTACCCCTTCAACTCCGTTCGTTATGCGCCGCTTCGTCATTTAAGGCAACGGCTAAATGGTAAAATGCTGTTGATGGGGAAAATGTTTTGAATATCTTACCAACAAAATCATTCATATGGAAAACATGCTAAGCGGTAAAATATATGAAAGTACAATACACCAACTAGGGTTGGGAATTGAGAACAGGTTCTCCTTCAGCAGTACCATTTTTTTAATTAACGGTTAGAATTCTAACAAAGAATGGTTTGTTGTCATGGCGATCAACATGCATCTTATTTTCTGTCAGCAATGCATGCAATTCAACATTTGATTCACTGACTCAGTGGCAGACCATAAAATGGATGAAAATATTGGAAAATACTACACATATCGTACCTGAATCCAGCAGATCTTCATCTTCGATGGTTTTGAGAACTCTGGATTTGTAGTCTCTGAAGTGCATGTACCTGATGAGAAGCCGTAATTTTTTTCTGATAGAAATTTTTTTTTTAACAGGTTTAGCGTTCAAACTAAAACAATCTCCATCCATCCCACAAAATGATCTTTTAGTTTCAATTTAGTTGTAAATAATGAAATATTGCAAAAATAAATATTGTCTCTAATTTAACAGGCGGAATCGTTCCATCCATCTTTATCTCACAAAATAATCTTTTAAAATGATCTTCACAACATTCAAGAAAATTCAATTATTTCTAGAGCTGGGTGATGTGTTCTCAATTTTGCAGCTGATAGCAGCAGCTGTCTCTGATTTAAACAAAAATAGTAGGGGGAAAAAATGATAACCGAAGAAAAAATAAATGGAAAAAATGTGTGGAAAACCTTGATTTTATTCATTGATTATATTTCTAAAAGTTTATTTTACTGTAATCATAGAAATATATAATTTAAGCTCAATTATTAAACTAAAACTATCTCCATCCATCTTTGCATTCTACAAAATTTACTTTTAGTGTGGGTTTCTTCACTACATTCAATAAAATAACAATTGCTGGCAATACTGAATTAAGCAGCATTATTGCAATATTGCTAAATTTTATATATATATATATATATATATATATATATATATATATATATATT